TTCTTGTCCGCCATCTTGATCCTCCTCCACTGAATCAGTATTACACTGCTAAATGGTCTTTTTTTTTCTAATCCTCTCTTCATCAATGCTTAACCCAGTGCTCCTATTAAAACAAGTCAGATGATGTCATTCCTCTGCTCAGAACATCCCCATTATCTTCCATTTCAGTCAGAGTATGTGTTACCATTCCTCCTAATACCTAAGAGGTAGTGCATGACCTAACCTTTAGTCCCTCTGACTTAATTTTTCATTTTTCTATCCTTTTACCTCTGCTACTACCTCACTGAACTCCTCACTATTTTTTAAACTCTCCAGGCACACCTCTGTACTTGGCAGTTGTCTCTATTTTAAATGGCTTCCCTCAGATATCTTCCTGGCCTCTTTTTGTCCATTCCTTCAGTTCTTTCCTTAACAACCATTTTCTCAGCAAAGCCTTTTCTGCACATGCTAACATTTCCACCATCCCTCTTCTCCCACACATAAACATTTCATTATGCTGCTTTACCTTTTCTCCTCTAACATGTGATGTAGTTTGCCCCCTATTCTGTTTACTGTCGTTGTATGTTTCCTTCACTCTCATGAGTAGGACATTCGTGTGTTCACTGCCATATCTCCCTGTGCCGCAAAAACAGCCTAACATGTAATGTAGTAACTAGCTACTCCATACATTTGTATTAACCGCATGTATGGAGTTTACCCTGTGGGTATTGTTTTAATCATTAGACTAATTCTCATTTAAAAGTGTGACATGGGTTCATTGTGACAATTTTACCTGGCAATCACGCATTTTTTGGATTCTTCTGGATATTTTCATAAGCTATATTCTGTATATTAATTTGTTTCCATTTAGGGAGAAAAGCCCAATAATGTGTTTACTCAGTATTTACTTTTTCACTGTATTTATGATTGTTTTAAATCTGGCAAGACAGATCAAAGGAATTACAAACTTCATTTGTGTTTTATTAAGAAAAGTAAAATACAAGAGAAGTAAATTTAATGGACTTAAAAATTCTTTCCAAAGGATGGTAGGCCTTCAATAACTGAAATAAGAAGATGAAGTGGGAGTATATTCCTTTCTCTAGTAAGAGAGCTATGCTGGTGAGGCACAGTCTCTTCTGACAAAGCACCTGCTGATATTATACAGGGTTTGGGGAAGAGTGGCACTTAAGGACTTACTGGCAGCCTTTCGGAGGAATACATGGGTTAACATCATCTGTAGGAGCATGGTTAGTTGCATGACACAGTGGTTGAGTCGTGGGCACTCAGGCATGTTTATTGGAATGAGTTTGTGCCAGACTGACAGCCTTTCAGAATCAAGTGGCTGACATTGATTTGTGAATGAGGCCAGTGGTCACTGATGGATTCACTAGATTTAAAACTACCTGGGGGTGGCTGCTTGTTACCATGACTACAGATTAGTCATTTTCTAAGTGTGAGGATGAGACGTTTTCTGTTGAAAAGTTGTTTTCTATCAACTGTGTTCAAAATGAAAACTGTTTATTATTCCAGAATTATAGACTTATTTTTTGCAGTTTGAGGCAAGAGAAGTTGTTTAATAATTGCTCTCAGAAAGATATCTTCCCCTACCCCTGTTTTTCTACCTGCTCAGTCTTAACCAGAACAGTTATCTACATGATTCATTTTATAACTAATTGTTAGTTTTATCTTTGTTTTTGATGTTTTTAGGGGCTCATACTCAATTTCTAACATAAACTCCTGTGGGAAATTTCAGTTTCTTTGTAAATTTATATAGGTATATGATAGTGATTTTCTTACACATGTATTTATCCCACAAAAAAGTAAGTACACTTTTCCATTGGTAAACTCTACTATTTACATTAGAATTAGCTAGGCTAAAAGTATACAAAAGTCAACAAATTATTTTATTTTCAAACAAAATTATAATTAATCACAATATTACTATTTATAAATCATATAGAATGATATATAGGTATTCTAAAAGTAAGGATTTCCCCCAACATATTTCCTGATTTCTTATATTATTGTTATATGTGCTTCATGCTATTTTATAACTTAAATGAAACATTATCGTATTTAAACAGAAAGCCAAAAATATAGCACAAATCTAATTCTTGCTCCTATGCCTAAGAATCATTGCTTGTAGGTAGTGAGCTCCAGGCATTCAGTGTGGCATTAAAGGTTAGCATGGCATTCACCTCTCATTATTTGCTTCTATTTATTTTACACTTTTCTTTTCAAGTTCACAAGAAACATCATGTGTGTCACCTTGGTGCTTACATTCTGTCTTTAAGTAGGTTGACTTTCTCCTACTTTTTGCCTGGTGAGCTCCTTTTACATTTTGTCTGTTCCACAAAGCCTTCCTTGGGCTCATGTAGAATTTTTCCAAAGGGTCCACTCTTACGTATCACATTGTATCATAATTGCAATTGGCCTGTTTATTAAAGCAGGGAATGTACACTTCCTTGCATATTGTTGATATTTCGTAACTGCTTTTTAAATTAATAAGTGAATTGAAAATGGAGAAGATATAGAAGTTTATAAAAATTGTCTTTATATATATATGGTCAATAGAATTATTAGAAAACATTATCTCTTGTATGTTTTTTTTAAAGTACTGGTACTGCATTGCATATAAGGGAAGTAAAGAAAAATGAAAATGAAAAACAGACCTCAAACAAATCTGTGATGAACAGTGTATGAGAAGGCCAGTGTAGTAATTGGTGGTGTGAATGATGACAGCACTTGAGGTGAAATAGACAGAATGAAGGAAGATAAAATCTATAAGTCCTTCATGTCCTTGTGAAAGAATATTAGCAGTGATTACTTTTACTATTCTATTTACTTGAAATAGAACAGTGTAGTCTGCCAAAGCTAGAAAATGCTCAACTGTATCAGTGCTGTGAAATGATTGATTAATATGAGGACAAGTGAACTTAGACAAGGAGCAGTTTCAATAAATGGTCTCTAGGAAACCCTGACTGTAGTGGATAGCATAGACAACTCCTGAGTGAAATTTTCCTGGGAAAGGAAATGGAGAAATGGGTAATATCTAAAGAAGAATGTGGAGTTCAGGGAGTTTTCTTTCTTTCTTTTAAACTAGAAGCTTTTAGAGAGTCTATCGGTATGTTGTTGGGAATGATCCAGTAGAGAAGGACATATATGTGAAATTTCATTTAATTTACATGTCTAAGCACTAGAAAGCTTGATACATTATGTTTTAAACATTTGTGGTAAACTAATTGCCCTTAGAATTTCTAGCCATGTATGATTTTATAGTAGGATGTTACTTCTTCAGTATGGGTTCAGAAATGAAATAGTCTAATTAAAGATGCCAGTGATGACATATTATAGTTTAATGTAAAAGTCAAACTATAATACATAGAACTTTAAAAAGTGTAGTAAAAAAACACACAAACACTTAAGGCATATTTATTACTGTTTAAACATTTATTTTTGACTGTATATATTACAGTACCTTTCCCAGTAGCATAATGAATACCTATGATTTGGTAAGGTGCTCTACAGTATCGGGTGTATGTGTCAACTTTATAATTATTTAGATTCTAGGGAGAAGGGGACTGTTTTCTTCATGTACAATAAAAAAACAAACTATTAAGATCTACCAAAGATTATTACTTCTGGATTATAAAGTTCTGAAGTATATAAAAAAAGTTTCATTGTACCAATAATGCCATTGATGTATTATATGCTGAATAAGTATTCATTGAATGCATGAATGAACAGATGAATAGATGAATAAATGCCTGTTGATGAATTTCTGTAGGAAAAATAAATTGTAGTTTATTAAAAGTAGGTTTCCAAAATTGCCTGAGTATAAAACCTTTTAAGAAAATATTTGCATTTTGGTTACAGTGTGTTTTTTGCCTCTCCCTAAAAAGGAGTATGAGGTATTCCTTTCCCCCCTACAATGCTCATCACATCCTTAAGATGTGGGTCTAAATTTTGTTAATGGGAGGTGAACAGGTGAAAGGGGGAAGAAGGGAAAGGATACTCACTTTCATGGTGGGTGCAGGGCGCACCACTTGAAGACTGGACACGCTTGAAGCTCTGGCAGAGCGGGCTGGGGAGGGGAGGCAAGGGCAAGATATGTAACCCTAACAATATTTGTACCCACAGAATTTGAGAAAAAAATAAATAAATGTAAAAAAAAAATAATGTTCCCCCACCCCAAAAAACGAAAAGAAAATATTTGCAAGATTCAGAAATTATTATGTACGATTTTAACCAGAAATGGAATGATAATATGTTTTTCTCTGCTGTCATCTCACTTAAAACACTTAAAAATCAGTGTTACTTTCATAGCTTATGGTGAAACTCATGCCTTGAAGTCAGAATCCTGGGTTTGAATGCTGGGTCTGCTATGGACAAGCTTTATGGGCTTGAGCAAGTTCTGTGGCCTTTCTGTGCCTAGTTTCTTCCTTTATAAAATACCTAATGTGTCTACCTCACAGAATTATGGTGAGGACAAAAATGAATTTACCACATGCACAGTGCTTAAAATAATGCTTAGTATCTATATAAGCATTTATGAATGAGCTAGCTAACAATGTCATTAAAAAAGGGTTTCCCTCATATATGGACATAAGTATTATTTCCAAAATAGGTTTTAGTGCCAGTAAAAGCTTATTAGTGAAAAGGAGAATAACAACAATAAAAATACCCTAATATATTTCTTTCTATCAAATGATGCAGATAAGATGTTTTTCCTTTTTATTCGAATGTCAGAAAGCTTGATCTAAATTTAATTCTTTTATATATTATTAATATATTTTCTTTATCTCTTAATATTACTTTGTCTTTTAAACTTCCTTATATAAAATCATTATATTTTATATTACCTGTAAATATAATTGTCAGTAACCTTTTGACTAGGAGAAATAAATTATATATAAATTTTTTATATAAAAAATTAAGTATAAAATGTCTAAAAAAGTTTTAGCTATTCTTTGTATTTTGCATCTATATTATTTGACTGAAAAAAGTGTTTGTTTTTCTAGGCCTGCAAAGAAAATGTCTAATGAAAAGAACAAGGTATTTAAAAAATAAATTACAAAATTATTATTGTTACAATATAGGTTATACAATGTACAATAAGAAAATAGAGAATATTTTGGTGTAAAGACATTTACTTTGGAAAAGTGATTAAGAAGCAGTCACCATTGATAAAGGTATCCTTTGAACAAAAATCAATTTCTTTTGAAAGAACCTGTAATTTTACTCATATAAAAGTTGGAAAACTAGCACTTCTGTATATTTTGTTTATGCTGTGAGTATTTTGGAGACATACTGAACTAGTGTTATTTATTTTGTAGGTCAAAGGACAAATACATTCTATGGGTGACCATGATGACTTAACTTGGTCATCTGAAACAGCCCCAGAGGATTGTGAGTTGCCTTCCTCTTATTATCAGCATTTTATGTTGCTTGTTGAACAGCTTGGAATGTATTGTAAAGGTAGAACCATTGTATAAAAATAAGGCCTTCTTAATATCCTATAGTAACATATGTACCCATTGCTTAGCACTGCATCATAAAGCACTGATGTATTATAGTCACGTTCTTCCAAGAAATATACTTTATGTTAATGTAGAATTAGAACTAATGTATAGTGTGCACTCTCAGCTGAAGAGTTATGATAATTCCACTGTGCTTTTTTTTTTCTCTGTGTGAATGGCACTCCAGCCTTTTTGTTGACTCTGCTTCTCTTCCATACCTATACCCAAGGGCAGGTTACCATTAACTCCTACCTGGAATACTGGAATAAACTTTAAACTGTTTACCCTTCTACCCTAGCTGACCAAACTGTGGTCTGCTCTTCAATCATAATTACATATTTTGAAAAATTCAGATCTGATTGTGGTCCTCCCTTGCTTAAAACGCAGCTATCGCTTCTCATTGCCATAATGTTAAAGATCTCAATTCTCTAGTGTTATCCTCCATTATTTTCTACCCTTCTTTCTCTCTGTGTTCCAGCCACTGTCTTAGATACTTGTTGCTCTAATCAATAGCTTTCATGAAGTATAATTAATATATGACAAACACATATGTAAAACATACAGTTTGATAACTTTGGACATATGTGGAAATGTGAAACCATTGCCACTGTCAAGATAGTTAACATCACATGCAAGTCTCCTCATGCCACTTTATATTTCTTTCTTAAGAAACTTCTCAATTGTTTTCAAAGTAGTTCTACAATTTTCCATTCCCATCAGCAGTATCTGGCAGTTCAAGTTGCTCTGTATTGTCACAAACACGATGTATTACCATTTTTACAATTTTTAATTTTTAGGCATTCTGAGGGGTATGTATTGTTCATATAATGATTTCCATATGCATTATCCTTATAACTAATAATGTTGAGCATCTTCCCATGTGCTTATTGGCCATCTATATAATTTCTTTGTGAACTATCTTTTTAATTCTATTGCCACTTAAAAATTAATTTGTGTTCTTATTTGTTGAGTTCTAAGAGGTTTTTAAAATATATTTTGGGTACTTTTACCTTATTAATGATTTTTTTGTAAGGACTTTGTCCCAGTTTATGGCTTGACTTTTTATTTCCTGTTAATAGTGTCTTCTAAAGGGAAAAAGTTTATAATTTTAATGAAGTCCAGTTTATCTATTTGTTAAATTACGGATTTTGTTTTCTATATCATGTTTAAAAAGTCTTTGCCCAGCATAAGATCACAAGAATTTCTCCTGCCGCTTTCTTCTAGAACTTTTATAGTTTTAGGGCTTATATTAATATTTGGATCTATGTTCCATTTTGAGTTCCTTTTTAGTTATTAATATCCAATTATTCTGGCACCAGTGGGTATGTTTCCATTTATATAAGTTGTATTTAATTATTTCAGTGATATTTTATACTTTTTAGTGTATAGATTTTCCTTATTTTACCAGTTTTATCTGTATTTCATTGTTTGATGAAGTTGTAAATATTTTTAAAATTTTAATTCGATTGTTTATTGTTGGCATAATTTTTTTTCCAGCCTGGCTCATGGGAATGGACATACTTTCTGGCACTGTGTGAATACCAGGCATGGTTTCCTCTATTTCGTTCAGGTTTTTTTTCCCCCTTGGTCTTAGATAGTTTCCTAGCACACATGCACTGTTCATTACTCTGCTAAATACCCAAAAAGGGATCTCGGCAGATCTCCACGTTTCTTCCCTCTGCTGTTATCTCCTCTCCAGTGTTCTTTCCTGTGATCTCTGTCTGCCTTGGTTTTATCAGACTCTTAGCTTCATCACCTCAACTCAGGAAGTCTGGGAGACTCTACCTGAGGTTTTTCATCCCTTAGTCATGGGCTGGAACGTGTGTCAAGGCAGAGAGCTGGGGTATTCATAAGGCTTACTTCGCTTGTTTCCTTTCTTTCAGGGATCATGGACTCCATTGCTTGAAGTCTACTTTCTTGAAAATCATTGTTTAATGTGCCTTGTCTGTTTTGTTTTGGTTGTTTTCAGGTAAGAAGGTCAGTCAGCACCTGTTACTCCAACGTGGCTGGAAGCAGATTGCAGTGGAGCTTCAGCACAGGCTGTAGACTGGCTGGAATGCTGTTCTTCTCCCTTTGCTCAACTGCTTCCTTTCCATCCTGTTTTTCAGTGTTGCCATCTCTTCCTCAGAGCCAGTTCGCTGGGCTCAGTGTAGATCAGTTTTTCTTATGTGCTCCTAGAACTCTGTTTTCTTACAGCATTTATCTGAATTTATAATTGTCCCTTATTTTGTCTTTGTTCTTCACCACACTTTAAGCATTTAAATCAGAACAGAGGTCTTGTCTGTTTTGTCTTCAGAGCTGAGTATAGGTCCCCCACATTGCAGGCCCTCAGTATATATTTGTTGATTGTATGAATGAGTGAATGTTACATGTGCAGTCCTTATATCCAAAAAGTACTAATACATTTTACATCTGTCTTGTTTTCTCCCTAATACAGATTCTGTTAGCCTATTGAAAATGCAAGATGACGGTCTTTCACGGGAAAGATTAGTAGAAATTAAAAGCAATCACTGTGAAAGACTTACGATGAAAATTAAAAAAATGGAAAACAAGGTTAGCGTTCTGCAAGATGAGCTCCATGAAACCAAAAAAATAAACTCACAGTTAATGTATGAAAAAGCTATATGGGAATGTGAACTCTCTACTTTGAGGTATGACATCCTAGTTTTAAAGAAATGTTTGTATGTACTGTTTACTTCACACTAACGATCTACAGGAGAATTTGAGTAATTGCTATTTACCTTCTGGGGTTTAACGGGTAAAATTTGTGGTGTTGTAAAATGTGAAATTCTTCAAAATAATACAATAAGTTCTTAACTGTCAATATGTCTACTAATAAATAAATAAAAGCATATTCTTTTAAATCTTATTTTAATGGCTATATAGAAGTCTAACATTTGGAAATCTCATGATTCCAGAAATTATATTTGGAGTTTTAAAATTTTCTATATTATAATGAATGCTACAAGGAATAGCTTTGATATAAATATTTTCCTACATTTCTCATTATTTCCTTTGAACAAAGCCTTCAATATTGAATTTTTGGTGAAGGTATAGGAACTTTATAAAAAATATCCTTGATCGATATTATTTTTTTCTCAAGAAATTTTATATTAATTTAAAATTCAACAGAGTGTGAAATGGCCATTTTTTTCTAACCCAGAATCATTTTAAAAAATATTATACAGTTTTATTCTGAATATTCATGGAACAAAAAGTAACATGGAGCATTATTATTGATTAGTTTCTTCAATATCACTCTTTCATACAGAGATAAAGTTAATTCAAAGTTCTATGTTAAAATACATAGGATCCTATATTGTTTAATTAAATATTAGATCCTCTCCTGTTCCAAAGCAGATTTCAAAATTGTTTATAAAATATATAATAATTAGCAAGGTAAATTGAACATGTTACCAAACAAAGAAATGGAAAACGTGTGGGATAACAGATATTAGACTCCTTGGGCTGTTCTTGGATCATAGTAATCTGTAGATACATGTTCTGTGAAAGACAAGAGAAGGTGCTATCCTACACAGTAAATTATTGTTAGGGATACCCGCAATATTTCATGGAGTTGACAATTTATTTCTATTGAATGTATAACTTTGTTTTAAAACTTAGTTAACTCTAAATGACCTGACCTAATTGAGGAGTAATTATGAGTGTGTGAAAAAAAGGAAATTTTCAACTTATATCTTTTCTGGATCATTGCCAGTATTCTTTTCCATAATACTTAGCAGAGGTACTTGTAACAGAAACTTATCAAATAGCAGATAGTTCTTTCATCAGTATTTTTCAAGTGTATGTCCTTTGGAAGAAATTGAAGTGAGAAATTAAAAACCTGAGAAGTAGAAAAAATACTCAAGAACATGGAAATTTAATTAAGATAATAGACTAACATATGAAGAGGCGGATCATAAAGTGAACTTTGTGTTTTCTAAAAAAAACCTAATTTTAAAAGATAAGCATATTTAACTGCAGATGTACCCTAAAAGAAGAAGGAGAGAAGAGAAGAAATGCTGATATGTTATATGAAAACTCTCTGGAAGCATTAAGAACAAAAGAAGAGGAATACAGGAAAGAAGTTGAAGTGAAACAACAACTTGAACAGTCTCTGAAAACACTGAATACAGAAATGAGCATATTAAGAAATTATTTGTCTGAGGTAAATTAATCTTTGGTAAAAACTTTATACGTTTAACTTAATGTCAACAATATTACTTACATAAATTTGATTAAATATATGTTATGTGGGTTTAAAACACAACAAAAATGTTATCTTAAAAATGAACTATCATATTTTTAGCTAAAATTACTTATTGTAAACACTGGCATCTAATAGGTGCTCAGTATATGTTTTCTGCATGAAGCAATGGAGGGAAAGTTGAGTTTAATCACTAACAAAAATATTAATTTAGGCATTTTTATATTACAATTAAGGCTATAAATAGCTTTGAATGTCTAATGAAACTAGTTTAATATTCTGTAAATTTTTTTTCCCAGTACTATATATTCCTGTATTTAAAATTGTTGCTCTTTGATTAGTTTAGCTGTCATTTATTCAATTCAAATTCAAGTAATTCTTGAGATATAAAAGTCCTTGTCTTTCATAGGCTCTTTACTTTAATAGCTTTATTAAAGGTTATGCTCTTAATTAACGTTTTAGACTTTTTTTCTGATGCTATTAAACCTACAACTTACTGTATCTCTAGCTTGCACAAAAGTACAATGAGAGTCAGAGGCAGCTATATGGAGAACAGAACACCAGACTATTACAAGGTCGGATTCTGGCCAATCAACTTTACACACAAAGTGAAACAGAAATGACTCTAAGGGAAATGGAATCTGAGGTATTTTCTTTAGTTATTTTCACATATGTGTGTGCGTTTATTTGTATGTGTATATATCAATATTTAAAACACCAACTATATGCATCTTGGAAAGTATAAAGTATTTTAAGATGTGTGTGTATTTATATATATATGGTAGCAGTGGTGGTGGCATTTTGGGCCCATTGGATAAAAATTGTTCTCAATTCAGTTCCATTTCTCTGCAGTACTCAAGTAGTCACAATGGCCTCATCCAAATCCGAGGCTTTTAATGTTTTCCATAGGAATTGATGATATTTTCATAATCTCAAATCCCTTGCTACTGAGCATAGAAGTTCTAGTTTGGGGAAAAATATATCCCCTTGATATATTAGAGAGGTTACTTTATTACTTGCACTCATGGTTAAGGAGAAAAAGGACAGCCTGTTCGGAGGCCGTATCTGGGATGCTATCCTCCTCACTTTTGAAAGGAGTTACAGTTTGCTCCAAGTAGTATCTTATTTCAGTACAAAGAGATTTTGCAAACAATAGTATGCCATAATATACACTTAGTGAGAAGTTCTTGATAAGTATTTTATTCCTAGTAAAATGGTTTAATGCATCTTCCCCTATTCACACTGATTACTGTTTCAAACATTGTAACGAGGGGAAAACGAGCCTTTGTGATGGCAATTCATGATTTTCTAGAAGAACTCTATAAATTTTATCTTATTTATCATTGGTGTTTTGAAATAAAAGGCTTCCTTTGTGTTTATACGTTTACACAATGGAAGTAACTGTGATTTGGTGGAGGTAGAATCAGAAAACCTGGGGGAAATTCCACAGATTGCCTACGTTTTTAATCTCTCCTTTTCAGAAGTGTGATAACTAAATGAGTTTGTTGGTGTATGTAGCAATGGGTAATGGGGTGTAAACCCAACATTTTAATGTAGTCATATCTATCAATATTCTTATGCCTTTGATTTTGTTGTTATTTGGGGAAAGGCTTTTCCAGTTCTAAGATTCTTAAAAATTCTCTAATGGTTTCATTTTTCCTTTCATGGATTTATTGTTTGGAAATAAATATTTGAAGTTTGGGAAATTTATTCTCTATTATAAAGTGTGAGATTTTGATCCACCTTCTAGTTCCAATTGGATAGCCACTTATTTTGCAACCTTTTCATTGTATAAATGGACAAGTTCTCCTTCATTTTAAGAAGAAATCATGATATGTCATTTCATTGAGTGTCAACTGAAAGTTCTCTTTTTTGTACTTAGATTTTTCAGGGTTATGAAAAAGAACAAGCTCTGATACGTAAAAATGACATGTTGCATGAAGAAATAGCCATGCTAAAAATGGAAATAGCAACAATAAAATATCAGAATGAGGAAAAAGAAAAGAAATATATGAATGACATTAAAATTTTTGAAGAAGTGAATGAGAACCTTCAAATGACCCTAAAACAGAATGTGGAAAAATTAACAGACACAGTATCTCAGTATAGTGACCAGCTTAATGCTCTGGCATCTGAGAATGCCTTGCTGAATGCTAAACTAGAAAATGAAAAACAGGACAAGGAAAGACTGGAAGCAGAACTTGAAGCATGCCCTTCTAGATTGACTGCTGCAATACATGATCTTGATCAAAGTGAGATGCTAAGAAGAGACGTCAAAATGTCTTTGCAGAGAGCAAGTCATGAGTGGTTTTGCTTACCGAATGAAATAACTGTGTGTGTGTCTAATCTCAAAGAAAACCCTGAGATTGTTGGTCAAAAATGTTCTAAGGCTGAAAGTAAAATCAACAGCCTGGAAAATGAGCTCCATCACACAAATGTTCTGGGAGAGAAGATGCTGGTTTTAGAATGTGTCCAAAGAGACCTATACCAAACAAAATGTCAAATGAAAAAGATGAAAGAAATGTATGAAAATGAGCAATATCAAGTGAAGAAATACATTGGACAACAGGAATATCTAGAGGAGAGAATATCTGAACTAGAAAGAGAAAATATGTTGCTTCAACAGCAACTGGCTTATGCTCACAGCAAAGCAGAGGATAAAGAGGAGACACTAATGAATGTGCGAGAGCAATTTCAAGATACTGTGAAAAACCTTCTAGCTGAGAATGGAAAGCAAAGTCTTCTGCTAGAAGATAGAATTAAACAGTTAATCAGTGAATGCAATCAGTTAAAAGAAAGACTATATCAAAATGAAAAAGGGAAACCAGAAGAAGTAAGTATCAAGAAAGATAAATGTTTTTCAATGTTCCTGAAAGAAAATTTAAAGTAATCTTTGTTTGTGGCAATTATGTTGAATTTAGTTGAATGTAAAAATATCTAGATGACAAATGTATTTGCAATGTCAGGCTAGAAACATACCTTGTTTCCAGCTAATAAAAGTTATAGCAAAGACATTGTGTCACTTATGAGATTTTAAGAGGTTAAATTACAAATTGTCAGTAGATGTAGATGAATATGAATAATGGAGACTTATACTGCTGAAGATACAATTTCAATATCTTTACATTGGTATATTTTAAGACCATAGTGAAGCAGATAAATGGAAATGTTCATACCTGAAATGAGTATTTTGAAATTAAGATTCCATTAATGAGTTCCATTGACAGGTAAGTCCAGGTTTTGGAGATGAACTGAAGTATATTGTTATATCTCATAATACTTTCCTTTAGGTAGTTTTTTTTACATATTTTAGTTGGTGTAATTTATTTTAATTCATGTCAATATGGCTTAAATCTGAAAATGTTTCAATCTCAAATTATGTATTGTTATGACCTCCCAATTCTTCAAAGAGGCATTTACTTTTTATGAAATCATATGTTTTGATAAATATCAGCAAAAGCATGTTTGATTTAATCTTCCCACTGATATTTATAATTACTTTGAATATTTTTACAAATAACGTGCTGCTGATTCTCAATTCAAGACTGAATGATTTTCATTTGGATATAACTTTTTCCAGTACAAAGATATAATTATAGCTGTCTGTGATTTGTTAGTATGATATTGGATCCTTATTTTCAGACTAATGAGGGGGGGTGGCAGGATTCACATACAGCTGAATGCAGTGAGTAGGGGAGAGAGTTCCAGGAGCTGATGTCAGGGAGGGCGGTGGAGGCCAGGATACCTGAAGGTCGTTGGAATTTTACTTTTGCTCTGTGATTGGAAGGATTTGATCAGGCGACTGAATATGTGAAAAACTCTGAGGCTGTTTTAAGTTTTTAATAAAAAAGGGATGAATTTGAGAAATTACTCCCACCTCCTAGCCTGGTATCTTGAAAAATACAACTCTTTCTCTGCTTTAAAAGAAAAAAAGAGAGAAATTTTCAGCAGCACAGAATTTACTACCAGGTCCTACCCACACACCCATTTCTTTCTCTTTTTTTTTAAGCTTCAGAATATTATGGAGGTATAAATTTTCCTTTTGAGTCTCCATTAAGTTGTTAAGCATTGCGCGTTCATGACAGGACAAATGCGTAGTGGGCTGAATCTGATAATCAAATAACAGAATAACAATTTGGTGGTAAGATAACCCCTTCTGTGACCCTAACTGAATTCAGTTAACAACAACAATGTATACACATGAGGAAACGAAGGTGAATTGATGTATGTGGTGATATTTTTCAAAGTATATATGTTAGGGTTAAATATTTGTAACATAATTTAATAATAAGGTGATTTATAAAATCAGTAACAAAAATATCTTATCAGGTACTTGTGAGACAACTTCAAGAACTGGCTGATTCCTTGGAAAAAACGTCAACCTCAGAGGCTTCACAAGAGGTTCTATCACGTCACATGAATGTAGAAAATGAGACACCAGATTCAAAGAAGGCATTGGACCAAATCAGGAATCATGTATGTATAAAATGTAACATGGCCATGGATAATCTATAGCTGGTTACATAAGGTGTTCTAGGATACTAATTTAAATGGATAGCTTTCTTTTGCATTTTCATTATAAGTAATTTTATTACAATTGTATTATCTTTATAATGCACTTATTTCCTAAACTCTGACTCTCCTTATGCCATTTTTTTTTCTAATGACAAACTTTTCTTTTTATCACACTTACCCTTAGGAAATGTGAGAATGTTACATCATTCCTCACAGGAGTTGAGAACCATTTTTTTCCCATTAAGCAGTATTTCTTTAGTGATTTCTCTAGTGCTATCTTGAGGCAAACCAGATTATATCAGAGGATAATATTTAACGGAATGTTCCAGAAAATTTTCTTGTTCCTTGTCTTCAATTTTGAGAATCGATATACAGAATCTGTATATATTTATTTCATGGAGATCACTATAACTTGTACAGAAATGCCATTATACTGTTCTCTAAAACACGAGTGCTTTATGTTAACTTACAAACTATTTGAAAAGTTAGGCATTTCCTTTATTTTCTCTTCATTTTAAATATATTACAAAAGCATAGAAAGTAAATGAGTTTATATCTTTTGCAGCAACATGCATGGAACTGTAGGCTGTTATCTTAAATAAAATAACAGAAACACAAAGTCAAATACCAGAAACACAAAGTCAAATACCACATATTCTCATTTTTAAGTGTAAACTCAAGAACATGTACATAGAAACATGGAGAGTGGAACAATAGATATTGTAGACTCAGAAGGGTGGGAGTGTGGGAGGAGCATGAAGGCTAAAAAGTTACTTAATGAGTACAATGGACGCTGCTTGGGTGACTTTGCTACTATACAATATATTGATGTAACACAACTACACTTGTACCCCCTAAATATACAAAATTAAAAAAATAAAATAAAAACCATAGAAATACTCAGATATGGATAGTATGCACTTCCAAAATTAAGGTTCTACTATTGGATTTTTAAAAACTTTTTTTGAGATATAATTCACATACCATATATTTCACCCATTTAAAGGGTACAGTTACCTCTTAGTATATCCAGAGTTGTGCAGCCATCACCACAATCCATTTGAGAACATTTTCATTGCCATGAAAAGAAGACCCATACCCCTTTGCCATCACTGCCCCGCTCCATGTCCCTCTACCTGCCCATTCCTAGGAAACCACCATTTACTTTTTGTCTGCATAGATTTGCCCATTCTGGACATTTCATAAAAATAGTCATAAGATATATAATACTTTTTGACTGGCTTCTTTCACTTAGCATAATGTTTCAAGAATAAATCCATGCTGTAGCATGTATCAATACTTTGTTTCTTTATTTTCTTGGTTAATAGTCTACTGAATGGCTATACCAGTTACCCATTTATTAGTTGGTAGACCTTTATGTTGCTTCTACTTTTTGGCTATTATGAGTAATGTGGCTGTGGACATTCATCTCCCAGTTTTGGTGTGGACACATGTCATTATTGCCCTGCCATTAGGTTTTATCCTCACAGTTAACTGGGTTGATTTCACCATCTCTCTGTCTTACTCATGCTGTCCTTTCTGCCTTTTCAGTTTCTGTTCTTCTGGCCTCATTCATTCAGACCTGGCCCACAATTTTCTCTTCTTCACAAAGCTTTCTTTCCCTGACCTTATGCTTCTGCACCTGTTTAGTCTGTGCAGAATAATGTAGCCCTTAATTTTCTCCTGCTTTAATTTCCTCTCACACTCCTGTGGCCACTCCCTAAGTTAGATTTGGGGTTTCGGAAGGTCAGGGTGCTCTCCTGTGGCCTGGATTATATGACTCTTCAGTGGGAGTGGTGGACCATGGGAAGAAACTCAGTCACCTCCTGCCTGGTGGATTCACACCCAGTTTTTAGCTCGTCCTGGCCCTATTGGCTGCTTATTTTCCTCGAGCTTCCCAGAATTTGAGTTTCCTTTCACTTTTCTGTTGAAGAATTTCTGTGCTCCTTCTCACATAATATGTTCAAAGTGTGATTGTTCACACACTTTTATGGTTCTTCTACATGGATAAGTTGTGCTGGAAATGCTTCTAGTCAGCTTTCTTGGAAAAAATGTATCAATGTGTAATGTTTTACTACTAAGTAATATTTCATTTCATGGATAGTACAAACATTTTATTGATTCACTCATCAGTTGGTAGACTTTTGGGTTATTTCCATTTTTGGCTATTATTAATAATGCTGCTGTGAACTTTCATGTACAATTTTTGTGTTTGCATATCTTCTCATTTCTCTTAGGGGTATATTTATGAGTCAGATTGCTAGGTCATAGGAAAACTCTATTCTTAACATTTTGAGGAGCTGCCAGTCTGTTTTCCAAAGTGGCTGTGCCATTTTACATTCCCACTTGCATTGTATGAGGGCCCTAATTTCTCCATATCCTTGCTAATACTTATATGCCATCTTTTTGATTGAAAAAAGATTCCATCCCAGTGGTGTGAAATGGTACCCTGATTGTGGCTTTGATTGGCATTTCACTAATGATTAACAACTCTAAGCACCTTTGGATGTCCTTTTTAGCCATCTATATATCTTGTCTGAAGAGATGTCTATTTTAATCCTTTGCCTATTTTTTAAATTAGGTTTTCATTTTAATTCTGAATTGTAAAAGTTCTTAATACTGTGTTTCCCTGAAAATAAGACCTACCCACAAAATAAGCCCTAGCAGGATTTCTAAGCATTTGTGCAATATAAGCCCTACTCTGAAAATAAGACCTAGTGATGGGTGTGGCTACGCAGCGCATCTGCACAACCCATGCATTTCGTCGTGGGGCGCTAAAGAAGACGAGCAGCCCTTCTCATCTGCCCCATGAAGGCTCTATTGCTTGACATGAGAGACTGGGGCCAATGGTTCTAAAGGAAAAAGAGTCTCAAGAAATTCAGAATGGAATTCGGGGTTTGGAGAGTTATGATGATGTTCCAGAAGAAGATGACTTAACTATATTTGAATAAATGTAGATTGTTGTATCGTACTTAAAAAAAATAACACATCCCCTGAAAATAAGCCCTAGGGTGTCTTTTTGAGGAAAAATAAGTATAAGACCGTCTTATTTTTGGGGAAATACGGTATGTGCCATTTTCTGCCTGTCAGTTGTTTGCCTTTTCTCGATGGTGTGTCTTCAAGCACAAAAGTTTTCAATTTTGATGAAGCCGAGTTAATCTGTTTTTCGTTTGGTGTTATATCTAAGAAGTTACTGCCAAATGCAGTCACACAGATTCCTGCTGCCTTCTAAAAGATTTATAGTTTTAGTTCTTAACATTTAGCTGTTAACATTTGGAGTTAATTTTTAGATATGATATTTGGAGGGAGTATAACTTCATTCTGTTGCATGTGGTTTTCCTGCATCAGTTGTTGAAACAAGTATAGTTTTCCCATTTAATTGGTTTATTACCCTTTTTGCAAATCAGTCAATTGTAATTGTGAGGATTTATTTTTGGATTAACAATTCAAATCATTGACCTAATGTCTATTCTTATGCCAAACCAAATACAATTTTATAAGAACTCTTTTTCAATCATGTTGCATATTACTAGTTGTCTTATGTTACAGTAAAAAGTCGACATAGTGGAAAGCCTTTAACTACATTTATTGCTTTTTGAAGGAGCATGCAGCCAGCTTATGCCTTGCTGACTCCAGGACACGATGGGAAGTCAGGCTTATAAAGACAGAGTCCATTCTTTCTTTTCCCCTTACTTAAACCTTTAGTCTGTCATCTAGAGACTCTCTCTTCACTCCCATTTCCAGGAAATCTTGGTCACAGACTGTACTGAGTCTGCTACTTACTACATTATGATTTATTAGCTCAGCATAATTCGTAGAATCATCTCTAGACTTTTACTATCTAGTAAGGGGAAGATTAGGTCTGAGCTTTTAGGTTTCCTTCCTGGAAATTGAGCTAATCCATCATCTTTCACTTCACAGTAGATCCTCATAATCTGGTTCTGTACAGCACTGGGGCTGACCCTATTTTTAGCACACATACTCCATTGGTGTAGGTGGGCAGCGGTGGTGGCAGGGGGGTCTCCCTGGGCTGATCCTTGGGCCTCCAGGCAGTGTGCAATAGAACAGTGATGGCAGTAGTGAGCTGGTCCTTAGGTTCCTGGCTGGCACTTGTGGCACTAGTGGTGAAAGTAGCTGGGTCAGTCCCTGGGCCCCTGGGTGGGTGCATTTGGGAGGACATTTAGGGCAGTGGGGTGGACAGGCCTGTCCACAGGCTTGGTGAGGGCAGGTGCAAGAGCTGTCAGCAGTGTCCAGCTTGGCAGGGTTGTTCTCATGTCCCTGAATTGTGTGCCTAGGCAGTAGGATTCTCCTAAGACTCATGGATAGTGCACCTGGGCACTGGAAGCAGCATGTGGGGTAGACAGTCCTCTGGCCCCCAGACTGTGGGTGCCATGGCAGTGGTGGTACATGGCACAGGCCCATCCTCAGGCCCCAGGTTGTGTGCTGGCCTAGGGGGTGCGGGCTGATCCTCAGGGCCCTGGAAGGTGTATGTGGGTTGAGCGTGTGGCAGTGGCAAAGGCACGTGAGTTTGCCTTGTCTTCAGGCTCTCATGTGGCACATGCAGGTGCTGGCCACAGCAGGGTAGGTAGGCTTGTTCTCAGGCTCCTTGATGGTGCATTTGAGCTGGCCGATCCTCAGGTCACCTCCAGGTATGCTAGGTGCACCATGACCCTACCTCTGAAGGGGGCAAAGTTGCTTTCATAGGCAGTGGCCTCAGTCAGGTGGGCCCTGGCTCTGGGACACATGTTCCTATGATCCCTTTGTCCTTGGACAGCTTCCTTCATGGGCGAGACAACCTATCCTCAGGAGTGTAGAGTGTTGTGTGAGCTAGAGTTGTGGGGACCCAGATGCACTGCTGTGTTCAGCTGGTGCGGGGTGTTATAACCCACTGGGGAAACATGGTGGGATGTCTGGATGTGCCAGGGAGGACATGTGGGAGGTGTGGAGCCCCAGCGCAGGATGTAGCCCATTGGGGTTTGGGCTCTTAAAATGGCACTGTGCTGCAGCAGGTTGGGTCTCAGGGGTGAGTGGGACTCAGCGTGAATTGCCTCCCTAGAGCAGTGAAGTCACATGAGCACCAGGCAACTCCCTATACTCAGTTCAGGGCCTGTGAGGGCTGAGGGCTCCTCTATGGCTTGGATTGCAGGTGTTCTTGGAGGAATGTGGATCACAGGGTTTCATTCCCTTCCTTTGTCCCACAATGGGGAGTCTGTCCTGGCTCTGAGCTGATCCTGGCTGGAGTGGCTTCTTCCCTTCCTTTTCCTTTCATGACTCCAAGGGTTCCTGTTACTTCCCTGCTGAATTCCAGAGTTCTCTCTTAGAGGCATTGTTCAAGGTGTGGTCATCTAACTGTTTTGGTTCTTCTCTGTGGAGGATGCAAGTTCTGGGTGCCTCTCTCAGCCATCTTGATGATGTGTCTCTATCTATGGGATGAATATGAAAGAATGAATGGAAATGTTTAAAACCAGCACAATCTACCCTCTGGCTACATTTTTTTTTTTTTATATTCCTCCTATTTCAAGAATACACCAGGTTCTGCTCAATACCCCGGACAAGTGTCCTTCAATATGGCTTCAGACTCAGGCTTGAAGTGCAAGATCAACCATCATTCCAGATGGGCGTTCTCAATGTGTATCATTTTTGCATCATTTTAGTCACAAAATTGTAATTTGAACCACGTTAAGTCAGGGACCATCTGTATTTGGTAAATTGACATGTGGAGAGACTACAAATGGGAAAACACATATTCGAACCCAGAAAGTCCTGGATCCTTGCTATTCAGTTTTCTTTAGCTTATCTCTTGTGTTGACTTTACACTCAGATGCTGTGGAGCAGCAGTGCCCTTTCCTCCAGGTTCCAGTGTCATTTTCTCCACTGTCCTTGAAACCCTTCCTGCCAGCCTCCTTGAGGGTCATCAGGCTTCCGCTGACAGTCTCCTTGGAGGCCTTTTTGTTTCCATTCTTATTCATGTCTAGGTCTTTTCAGCATCCACCTCCCTCTTGGTCCACAGGTATTCTACATGTTTTAACAACTATTATTGTTTTTTAATGGTAGCACCCCATATTTAGTATCAGTATGTGTATCAGTTATCTACTGATGTGTAATAAACCACCTCAAAATTCAGTATTTCAAAACAACATTAACTTTGCCCACAATATTAAGTTTTAGCAAGCTGCAGGGGGGCCAGCACATTTCCTCTTCATGTGCCAATAGCTCGGATGACAAAGTTGGGGACTAGACTCGTTTAAAGGAATGTTCACATATCTGGCCATTGAAGATGGCTTTTTTGGCTGGGACTCTAGCTGGAGCAGTCAGCTGGAATATCTATACAAGGATTCACCATGTGGCTTGGGCTTCCTCACAATATGATGGCTGGATTCTAAGGATGAGCTTACCTAGAGAAGAAAAGTCCAGTGGAAGCAGAATTACATCTTCTAACTTAACCTCACAAGTCACACAGCAGTTCTGCCATATTATAGAGTCACTAAAAACTGGTTACTAAAGCCAGCTCATATTCAAGAGAGGGAATTGCATGGGAGAAATGTAAAAAAACTTTGTAGACATGTTTTATTTTATTTTTCCTTTTATTTCATCATATTATGGAGGTACAAATATTGTTAGGGTTACAAATATTGCCCCTGCCCCCTCCCTCCCCCTGATATGTCCAATCCCCTAGTGGTGTGCATCACACACGTTATGGAAGCATACACCCCTTTCCTCCTCCCCACTCCCGCCTGCCCACCACCTGCTAAAAAGTTTTGTTTTTTTTTAACATTTTGGTTACATTGTATTTGTTTTAAAACCAGCACTTCACTCACTTTTTATAAATCAAATTATCATTCTATCTAAAGGAAAGTAATTTGTTCCAACTCAGTACCACCGAAATTCTTGCAAGCATTTTTGTTGGTTTGTCGTTGTTTTTGTTTGGTATGTTACCTTATTTTGTGCAAAGTAACACAAGATGACAAGATAGTTCTGTTGAATTAAGACATCTTTATTGAAAAAAAGTATAGATCTTGTCGCTAAACTTTTATGCTGAGATATGATTGCTTTGTAACTCCAGGAATCCTTAGTCCTTGGAATGCAATTCAAATTAGCATAAAACCTTTGCAGTTCATAAAAATAACTCAGTGTAATGCCCCTAATATTTTAGAAATTATGGGGACTAATGATGGGGAAAGGGGCATGAGACTTTTTACTAAGAGAGTTTAAGGAGGAAAGAATTGACTTAATCATATCAAATGTCTAAAAATCAGGTGTAAATGTTGTGTGACAAAGATGTGGAGATTAAAATTTATGTTTTGTTACTCATAGTGGTTTAAACTTTGTTCTTGATTTTCTGAGTAATTCAAATGTCCGTACTTTACGAATCTACTACAGTATAGATAACATTTTATTAGCAGCTAAATGTATTTCAAAACGTGTTATTAGTTTTGTGACAGCCTATTCTCAGCCTACTTCATTCATTATTAAGCTATATTATTTTATTCATACAGATTGATGATCTTACAGAATCACTGGTAACTGTATCTTCAAGATGTCGATACCTAGATGCAAAGAATGTAGTTTATGAGCAAGAATTATTATCTATGAAAGCAATAGAAAAACAATGTGACATACTACAGAAAAATAACATGAAATTGGAACATGAATTACTGAACCTCCAAAATTATATGGAACAGAACATGGTAGACCGTGGTCAGGTTCAGCGATATGAGCAGGAGATTGAAGAAAGAGCAACACAGTTTATTGTAGAAAAATTAAAAGAAGTCAATCTATTTTTACAGGTTAGTTAACTTAAATGTAAAATACACTTACTTTCAATTCACTGATTATATTGTGATATTTACATTGTATGTGTTTCCTCTATTACATGTATAGTAATTGGTTTTGTAGATTTCTAGCATGAGGGTGGCATCTGTTTCTCCATTTTATTTTTTTAGTTTCTGTCATCATTATAACTAAATTGATCTTTGAGAGTAATGATGCATCTTAGAGAATCATTTGTATATTTAGGCCAGTTAGCATAAAACGAGAGTATTAGGAAAGAAAAAAAATGTGATTTAGAAATTATACCATACTCTTAAATTGTACTTCTGTTATATTGTTCAATTTTTAAAATTTTAAATTACTTCTATTATTCTTTGGATTATTAGATTGCTTGAGTACTAATTTATGAATGATTCAATTCTTTAAAATCCAGATTGAATTATCAATTTAGTTGATAATTGATGTTAAATATTTTAAACCTCATCTTCTTTTGTCACATATTTAAAATTGCTCTTTGGGGATGGGTGTAGGGGCTCATGCCTTCCAGCACTTTGGGTGGTGGAGATGGGAGTATCACTTGAGACCAGGACTTTGAAACCAGCCTGGGCATCATGATGAGACTCTGTCTCTACAAAAAATAAAATGTGCCAGGTATGGTGGTGCACACCTGCAGTGCCAGCTACTCAGGAGGGTAGAGGCACAAGGATCACTTGAGCCCAGGAATTGGAGGCTGCAGTGAACTATGATTGAGCCACTGCACTCCAGCCTGGGTGACAGAAGGAGAAACTGTCTCAAAAATGAAATGAAATGACAAAATAAATAGCTGTCTATTTCAAAAGTGAAGGAAGCAAATATTTCAGAATTGTTAGGTTGTCACTGCTAAAAATGTATCCTTTTAATTTGTTTTAGGCACAAGCAGCAATGGAAGAATACAGAGAACAGTTGAGGGAGAATTATCTGGCTGCAATAAGCAGTGAGATGGAATTCAGAATGAAAGATCTTGAGTCTGAAGTCTCCAATATGACAAATGCTCGAGAAGACTTTCATTGCATTGAACTGGAAAAATATAAACAGCTCTATCAATTAGAACTAGAAGATAGAAAATACTTGTCAATGAAACTAAAAAAGTAAGTCAAAATACAGAATAGAAAATAAATTAATATCATTAATTTGCCTTGAAAGCATGCCTTTTAGTGAGATAGGTTCATGAGATTAGTGGGAAGTGACAGCTAAATGGTAATATAATTTTGAAAAATTATGTTAATAAATAAACTTGCCTTTAAAGTGGGAGTGCAGGCTTGGCGTGGTAGCTCACGCCTGTAATCATAGCTTTCTGGGAGGTAGAGGCAGGAGGATTGCTCAAGGTCAGGAGTTCGAAACCAGCCTGAGCAAGGGCAAGACCCCATCTCTACTAAAAATAGAAAGCAATTAATTGGCCAACTAAAAATATACAGAAAAAATTAGCTGGGCATGGTGGTGCATGCCTGTAGTCCCAGCTACTTGGGAGGCTGAGGCAGAAGAATTGCTTGAGTCCAGGAGTTTGAGGTTGCTGTGAGCGAGGCTGACACCACAGCACTCTAGCCTGGGCAACAAAGTGAGACTCTGTCTCACAATAAATAAATAAAATAAAGTGAGAGTGCAGGACAGTTTATATCTCTCCCTCTTTTGTTTTTTTATCTGGCTTTTTGTCCCCTTAATTATCTCATTAAGTTAATCTGCTCTAATAGTCTTTCAGCCAAGTATTTTGGAAGCTTTATAATTTAGACAGTGATACTGTCATAAAATTGCTTGTCACCATTCCCCTAAACAGAAATGTTAATGAGTTTGACTACTTTTTGGAAGACTACAGCTCAAACCAAATAGTCAAGTACTACAACTACTCTTGGTGCATTCTGGCACTCAGTAAATTATCTTCTTTAAATCAGTTTACCAAAAACAATTATTTCTACATTTTCTATTTTTTTATTTATTCAGGATATTATGGGGGTACAAACATTTTGGTTACATGTAATGCTGTTTGCCCTGCCCAAGCCAGGGCTACAAGTGTGTCCCTCCCTCATACAGTGCGCTCTGATTCCATTAGTTGTGGGTTTACTCCCCACACTTCCTCCCGACTGGCACCCAGTGAGTATTATTACCATGTCAACACCGTAGTGTTGGTCAGTTAGTACACTTTGATGGTGAGTACATGTGGTGCATTTTTGTCTATCCTTGTGGTACCTCACTTGGAAGGATGGGCTCAGTCTCTGTCAGGATAATATAAGAGGTGCAAGACTCTTTCAGACATCAGCATAGGCAAAAAATTTATGAAGAAGAACCCCAAAGCAATCACAGCAGCAAGAAAAATAGACAAATGGAACAGCTTCTGTATAGCTAAGGAAACTATCATTAGAGTGAATAGACAACCTACAGAATGGGAGAAAATATTTGCTTTTTACATATCCGATAAAGGACTGACAACAAGAATCTATATAGAACTCAAGAAAATCAACAAGAAAAAAATCAAACAACCATATCAATAAATAGACAAAGGACATGAACAGAAGCTTTTCCAAAGAAGACAAAGACATAACATATAACCAAAATGTTTGTACCCCCATAATTTCCTGAAATAAAAAAGACAAATTGCCAGCAAACATATAAAAAAGTGTTCAACATCTCTAATCATTAGGGAAATGCTAATCAAAACTATAATGAGATATCACCCAGATCCAGTGAGAATGGCCTTTTTCAAAAAACCCCAAAACAACAAATGCTGGTGTGGATGTGGAGAGATTGGAACACTCTTACACTGTTGATGGGACTGCAAATTAGTGCAACACCTGTGGAAAGTAATTTGGAAATACCTCAAAGAGATAAAAATAGAAATGCCATTTGATCCAACAATTCAACTACTAGGCATCTATCTATAGAAAAAAAAAGACATTCTAGAATAATGACATCTGCACTGGAATGTTTATAGCAGCACAGTTTACAATTGCAAAGATATGAAAATAACCCAAATGCCCATCAGTGCATGGGTGGACTAATAAAATGTGGGATATGTATACCATGGTATACTACTCAACTACCTTTTCATAGAGATAATCATTTTATTATGTGTATTTAACGAGTACGAAATCATGTTTTGATATATTTATACATAGTGAAATGGCCATTATACTCCACCAAACTGACATATTCACATTGTTCATATTCACTTACTAATCCTAAATACAAGTGTTACTTAGGCATCCTCAAGAATCTTATAAATTGAGCCATTGCAAAAGGCAGCAAGTATTAACTGTTAAGCCATACATCATTGATATACATTTCTTTTCCCTCCTTACATTATTTGAATTACTTTTTAGAAATTCTCCTAAGAATATATATATACACACATATACATATACACTTCTTTAGAACAGTTGTAAAACCATAACTGCATACAGTAGGCATGCTCTGACACATCTTCACAGTTAAAACACTATTTACTGGGAAATTCCATTTATTCTTATGCTCACCTTTTGAAAATGTAATCATTTAGGAATCATTTAGGAAAAATGAAATACTATCAGGTCTCTCAATAAATGTGAACGGCTTAAACTCTCCACTCAAGAGACATAGGCTGGCTGAATGGAGAAGAAAACACAAGCCAAGTATCGGCTGTCTTCAGGAAACACATCTAACCTGCAAGGATGCATATAAACTAAAAGTAAAGGGGTGGAGATCAGTATTTCAAGCAAGCGGAAGCCAAAAGAAGGCTAGCGTAGTGGTTCTAATCTCAGATGATTTCGTTTTTAAACCAACAAAAGTAGTGAAAGACAAAGATGGTCATTATATATAACAGTGAAGGGCACAGTTCAACAAGAAGAGATAACAATTTTAAATATATATGCATCCAACTTAGGTGCACCCAGATTCATAAAACAAATCTTACTGGATCTAAGCAAATTGATTAACAGCAACTACATAATTACTGGAGATTTCAACACTCCACTGATTGCACAGGACAGATCACCAAACAGAAAATTAATAAAGAAATAATGGACCTAAACAAAACTCTAGAACAATTGGGTCTGACAGACATTTACAGGACATTCTACCCAAAATCCACTGAATATACGTTCTTCTCATCAGCTTACGGGACATTCTCTAAGATTGACCATACCCTAGGACACAAAGTAAGCCTCAAGAAATTTTAAAAAATAGAAATCATACCATGTATCTTCTCAGGTCACAGTGGAATAAAAGTAAAATCAACCCTAATAGAAACTCACATTTCTACACAAAAAAGTGGAAATTAAACAACCTTCTACTAAATGATTACTTCATAAATGAAGAAATCAAGATGGAAATAAAAAAATTCTTTGAACAAAATGACAATGGAGAGACAAACTAGAAAATCCTCTGGAACACAGCTAAAGCAGTACTGAAAGGAAAGTTTATCTCCATAAATGCCTATAACCAAAAGTCAAAAAGATCACAAATAGACAATTTAATGAAACAACTCAAAGAGCTAGAAAGAGAAGAACAGACCAACCCCAAACCCAGCAGAAGAAGTGAAATCAACAAGATCAAATCAGAACTAAACAAAATTGACAACAGGGAAGCTATACAGAAGATTAATAAAACAAAAAGTTGTTTCTTTGAAAAAATAAACAAAATTGACACGCCTGTGGCTAGGCTAACGGAAAACAGAAAAGAGAAATCTCTAATAAGCTCCTTCAGGAACAAAAAAGGAGATATCACAACTGATCCCAAGGAGATACAAGATATAATTTACAAATGCTACAAAAATATTTATGCACACAAACTGGAAAATGTAGAGGAAATGGACAAATTTCTAGAAACACACAGCCTCCCTAGGCTCAACCAGGAAGAAATAGATTCCCTGAACAGACCAATCTCAACAGCTGAAATAGAAACAGCAATTAAAAATCTCCCTAAAAAGAAAAGTCCCAGCCCAGATGGTTTCACACCCGAATCTTACCACACTTACAAAGAACTAGTGCCTATCTTGCAGAAATTATTCCACAACATCGAGAAGAATGGAAACCTCCCGGACACCTTTTAAGAAGCGAATATTACTCTGATACCAAAATCAGGAAAGGATGCAACAAAAAAAGAAAACTACAGACCCATATCCCTAATGAATATAGATGCAAAAATTTGCAACAAAATCTTAGCTAACTGAATCCAGGCGCTTATCAAAAAAATAATCCATCACGACCAAGTGGGCTTCATCCCAGGGATGCAGGGATGGTTCAACATACATAAATCTATAAATGTAATTCAACACATAAACAGAAGCAAAAACAGAGACTACATGATTCTCGCAATAGATGCAGAAAAAGCTTTTGATAAAATTCAACACCCTTTCATGATAAGAACACTTAATAAAATAGGCATAGAAGGGACATACCTAAAAATGATACAAGCCATATACGACAGACCCATAGCCAATATCATACTGAATACGGAAATATTGAAAGCATTCCCACTTAGAACTGGAACTAGGCAAGGCTTCCCACTATCTCCACTTCCATTCAACATAGTGCTGGAAGTCCTGGCTACAGCAATCACACAGGGAAGTGGAATTAAAGGTATCGAAATAGGGGCAGAAGAGATCAAACTTTCACTGTTTGCTGATGATATGATATTATATCTAGAAAACTCCAAAGATTCAACCAAGAAACTCCTGGAACTGATCAATGAATTTAGTAAAGTCTCAGGATACAAAATCAATACACAGAAATCAGAGGCATTCATATACGCCAACAACATCAAATTGAGAACCAAATCAAAAGGCTCAATTCTCTTCACAATAGCAGCAAAAGAAATAAAGTACTAGAATAACTTAACCAAGGACGTAAAAGACCTCTACAGGGAGAACTGTGAAACACTGAGGAAGGAAATAGCAGAGGATGTAAACAGATGGAAATCCATACCATGCTCGTGAGTTGGCAGACTCAACATCTTGAAAATGTCAATACTACCCAAACTGATCTACAGATTCAATGCAATACCTATTAAAATGCCATCATCATTCTTCACAGATATGGAAAAATAATATTACGCTTCGTATGGAACCAAAGAAGACCCCGCATATCAAAAGCAATTCTAGGCAATAAAAGCAAAATGGGAGATATCAATATGCCAGATATCAAACTATATTACAATGCTGTAGTAATTAAATCAATCTGGTATCGGCACAAAAATAGGAATATTGACCACTGGAACAGACCTAAGAACCCTGATATAAAACCATCCTCATATAGCCATCTAATCTTTGACAAAGTAGACAAAACATACGCTGGGAAAAGAATCCTTTCAATAAATGGTGCTGGGAAAATGGATAGTCACTTGTAGAAGGCTAAAGCAGGACCCACACCTTTCACCTCTCACAAAAATCACGACGGCGATAACAGATTAAACCTAAGGTATGAAACCATTAGAATTTAGAGGAAAATGTTGAAACACTCTCTAGACATCAGCCTAGCAAAGAATTTATGAAGAAGTCCCCAAAAGCAATCACAGCAGCAACAAAAATAAATAAATGGGACATGATCAAACAAAAGCTTCTGCACAGCCAAGAAACAGTCATGAAAGTAAACAGACAACCTACAGAATGGGAGAAATTTTCGCATCCTACACATCTGATAAGGGCTATAACTAGAATCTACTTAGAGCTCATGAAAATCAGCAAGCAAAAATCAAATAACCCTATCAAAAGTGGCAAAGGACTTGAACAGAAACTTTCTAAGAAGACAGAATAATGGCTAACAAAATGAAAAATGCTCAACATCTCTAATCATCAGGAAATGCAATCAAAACTACAATTGAGATATCATTTATTCCAGTAGAATGCCTTTATCAAAAAGTCCAAAACAATAGATGTTGGCGTGGAGCAGAGAGACAGAACACTCCTACACTGCTGGTGGACTGCAAACTAGTTCAACCTCTGTGGAAGAGCAATATGGAGATACCTTAAAGCGATACAGTGACTACCATCTTGGTCCAGCAATCCCACTACTGGGCATCTACCCAAAAGATCCAGTGACACTCTACAAAAAAGATAACCTGCACTCGAATGTTTATAGCAGCACAATTCATAATTGCAAGGCTGTGGAAACAGCCCAAGTGCCCATCAATCCAGAAGGATTAATAAAATGTGGTATATGTATACCATGAGTACTATTCCAGCTCTAAGAAACAACAGTGATAAGCACATCTTGTCATTTCTGGATAAGCTGAACCACTACTACTCAAGTGAAGTATCCCAAGAATGGAAAAACAAGCACCACATATACTCACCAGCAAACTGATATTAACTGAGCAGCACCTAAGTAGACACATAGGCACTACAGTAATAGGGTATTGGGCAAGTGGGAGGGGGGAGGGGAGTGGGTATATACATATATAATGAGTGAGATGTGCACTTGTGGGGGGAGGGAGAGCAAGGGCATTTTTTGAAACCTTAAAATTTGTAACCCTATATATAATATGCTGAAATTAAAAAAAATGAAATACTAAACATTTGTCTTTTGCAATCTTCACAGAGCTACTGAGAGACTAGCAGAATTCAGTAGCAATCTTGTTGCGGAGACACAGACTAGACGTTTCTTTGCCACTTGTACAATGAGCACAGTCCTACAGTCAGCATCTGCTGGAACTCCTTGTAATGGTTTTGGTCTTCACAGAGAATTTACTTCAACAGAATACTCACTGTTCTCTTCTTCCTGTTCATGGACGTCAGATTCCAGCTTGAAGAACAACTTGAGTGAGGTTAGTTATATTCCCTTCTTTCCTTTGGGCTTCAGATTTCTGATATAATTCTTGTTAGTTTAGTGAAATGCAGAGTTGTTTAAATGACCTATGCATAAGTAAAGGTTATAATTATCTGTATTAATAAATAGAGGAAAGAGAAATTTTTCCATTTTCTTAAAGTCCTCTCAGCTCTCATTTTCAAGAGATAACCCATATAATAATGTTATTCAATATATGTAACTAAAATGATACTTTTTAAATTTGCTTAAAAGCTGCCTTTAAGTTAGATGTTAAAGACGGAATCTTTCCTAATAAAGGGCAGTATAGTGCAAGGTGCTCTGGCTTCCTTCTAATTTATTTTAGTTTGGCTGTGGTTCCTAACACTTTTGAAGTTTTCCTCTACCATCTCAAATTTTCCACCCTTAATCACAAGAATGTTTGGCATCCAAATACTTGAACACATCTGGATATTTATTATTGAAAGCAATCCAAGAGAGATAATTTTTATGAATTAAAAAACCCTGTAGTATCAAAAATATTAACTTCTGTTTTTAAATTAAAAGATTTGTCATTTTCTTACATAAAAGTACATCTTTAATTGCTATGGTAATTACAGCCTTTTAATCTCAAGTTTTGTAAAATTTGCCTATTTGATGGGCAATTGCACAGCACTCTTTAAATGGTTAAATGAAGCACATATTTGGATTTTTAAAATGGCATTCACTTTTGTCTCTCTAGCTTGCCATCACTTGAATGAGTGATGACTAAGATGGAAAATTTATCAAGACATTTTGCTGTCCTTTTTCCTTACATAGTCTGTGCCAGGCATTGTATTGTCCTTCAACTGGGGACAACAATTCTGAATTTCTATTAAGGGAAATATGAGGAAAGTGTGTGATTTAAGGGGAAAGTAAGAATAAAATGAAAGAGACTTTTAAAACATCATTTAATGTTTGCCAGTTTTACTTGTGAATATAGATAAAACCACCCCAGCCTCCCACTAGCCAGGACAAAACTGGAGGTATCAACACTCCAGACCCTTTTCCTAAGCTTCTGGCTGCCCCTCGCAGAGCAGCTCCCTTCCTGGGACCTCGGTCTGTCCCTTTCCCTTCTGAACTTTCATACCTGACCTGAGGAAACATAATTGCATTATTAGGCCCTTAAAGTTCCATTACGATGTACATTTTACATAGGGTTTATTAACCGTAATGTAAGTTTCTGTTCATAAAGGCTTGTCCCTTTCCTGGTATTGAGTTATTACTTTTACAATACCTGGCTGGTAATACTGCTGTACCATTAGTCATTTTTTCAGGCCTGTCTCTGGTGGTATTCTCACGAAAGTGTTCTGGTAAACAGTCTCTCAAAATACTGGGAAAACTGTTAGTTAAACATTTGTGAAGACATTGGATATCATATTATGATTATCACCACAATATAGTTATTATCTTCAATATACTCTTTCAGTCCCTGTTTTGGGCATTTAGAGGGAGAATACCTTTTATACAAAGGATTTAAACAAGAACCCTCTATATGAGAACATTTGCAATATATTAATAGTTTCAAATATTTTCACACATTTTATAAATAACTAAAAATTGCAACATATGCAGTCAGATGTTTCAAAACCTGCTACAAATTTCTGAAAAGAAATCAAAATTATAATTAAAGAACTATATATTTTTGGCCTTTTTTCTAATTCTAGAACATCATTAATCTAAGAAACTAAATTTGAAAACTGGCTGTAACCTATATTTATCCTTATTTCAAGCAAATTTTGGGAAATCTTAGCATTCATATGAAAAAAATGTTAGTTATAATACAGATAGCATAATATTTTTACCTAATCTTAGCCAGTAGAATATTCACATGACATTATGACAGTACCACTCTCTTCATGTCTAAAATGTTAGTAGCATAGAACATACTTTAATATTTTAATTTTACTACAAGTGGAAAATGATAATTTTAAGGAAAAATCCATCAAAGTGAAAAAAACCTCATCGTACTTTTATAAAGGGCAAGGTTTTTTAAAAAATTTCAAAGTAACACATTCATGTGAAAATGTGATTTGAATTTTCCAACCTTTGTACTAACAAGAGAAAATGTCATACTTTTGAAGTGATGTATATTCAGTAGACCAATATTCATTGTACTTTTTTATTAGATGAATATAGGCAGCATCACACATACATATTCTCTATTATCTAAGTGTACAATAAATAGAAATTTTATATATTTATGTGATTATTTTTCTATTTAAGCAGTCCTCAAGTTAAGTCTAGTCACTATTATGACTCCCATGAAAATGTCTCTGGTTTACCTAAAGATTATAAACAATATTTGACTTATTTCAGATGCAACAAGAGTTGGAAGAAATAACTGTAGGACTAGAAGTAGGTATGTTGTCAAATTTTATGAATTAGATTGAGAGTAATGAATTGACTTCTGAAATCAACTGTAAGTAACAAGTGGCATCCCTCTCTATTATTTGGTTAATAGATACTACATTAAATATTTCCTCTTACACACATCTAGTGAAAGATGTGAAAACATTAACATTCATACTGAACAGTATACTTATGCTTTGTGATTTAATTATCATGTTCCATAGCTTCAAAGACATCTCATCAAATTTATGTATTTTTTTTCCTGGATCTACACTTTATTCACTCCTGTCATCGCTTTGAACCTGTCCATGAGTCAGCCAGCACACTGGAAGTATTCTCAGAAAACCAAAGCATCATCAACTTGCTATGTTTATGTTAGTGATTTAAGGCCATAGACCCCAGACTTATCTAGGGACACTTAGCCAAGCAGTTATACTTCATACGCAGTCACTTGACTAGTGACATTTTAAATCAGTCACTTACTTTATCATTGGTGTACCTTTGGCCTCGAAAAAAGCACTGTTTTTCTTACCATGGGAAAAATCACTCATATCAATGTGGTTCTTGTCAGTTTACTCAGCCTTATCTTTTGCCACATACCCTACTCTGCCCCTTTGCTCTAGCATCTCACCACACTAGACTACTTAGAATTCGACAGTGTCCCTGCTCACCTCCAGCTCTTTGCATTTGCTGCTTCCCTCTTTCTATCTGGCACACTTTTTCCTTGTCCCTCAGCTATCAACTTACATATCACCTCCATCAAAAAGTCTATGGTGTTGACGGAAGTCTTGGACAGATGGTCCTTCTGGGTGTTCCAATAGTGTTCCATTTTATATTTGTTATGGTCTATATGACTCTGCATGGAAATTGCCTACTTGTCTGTTTTTCACATTATAGTATATGATTGTTGAGGTCAATCATATGGACTGTATTATCTTCACCTTGTAATACCAGTGCTTGTCATAGTACCTTAGCACATGATTGTTGAATAAGTGAATGGAGAATCAGAAAGCCAGAAGTTCTGATACCTAACCACAATGGTACTTAATTCAATGTGCAACTATAGGCAAATTATATTTAATAGTATATATATATATTTCGTTCTTATGAACCACCAATAACCTTCTTGAGTCTTTTTTACTGACCTACACTTAGTTCCTATGAATTCTTTTAGGTAAAGAATATAATTCTTTCCTTTTCTTTCCAGGTGCCGCTGGATACTCCCCTCTAGAACAGCTTCTCCTCTAGGATCCACTGATAAATAAAAATGAAGACATTCTTTGAAAAGCATCATGACAATACGTGCCAATTAAAAAAAAAATTATATGATCTCAAAGACTTAAGTGGATCTTGCAAATGAAAGCCAATTTTATATCCTCAGACTGCCAAATGCCAGCTGGTTAAACAGCCAAACAACCAAATTTTCATGAATACTTTAGTGAAAGTAATTGATGGTTTATTTTTGTATATTACAATTTTTTATCACTATACATAGTGATAGATTTAGATTTCCACAGATATCATTTTGCATCCTGGTACTGTGGTCATTGTCAGTGTTTGGAGGTGTCACAAATATTACAGTGCCATCAGACTTATATAATTTTAATTTTAAGCACTGATTTATATGACTCTTTCTTCCTGGAGAAATAAATTTACCTAGTGGTTTTCACTTTTTCTGTTCATTCGTTCATTCATTTATTTCTGATTAACTTTTGGAAGTAATCTTATAATTAGAGAAAAGTTCTAAGTTTATAGTACAAAAAATATTCTCCCCTGACACATTTAAGAGTAAATTGCTGACATTATGCCATTATGCCTTTTTACTTTAGTGGATATTCCTACAAGTCAGGACATTCTACACGACTGCAATACAACCTTAATAATGAAACAGTTACCATTAATGCATCCTATCATGTAATCCTCAGACTATTTCCCAGTTTTATTATTTGTCTAAAATGTCCTTTACAGCAAAGAGACCCATTCAGATCCATGGATGCATTTAGTCATAATGTCTCTTAGACTCTTTCAGTCTGGAACAGTTACTTAGTCTTTCCTTGACCTTCATGACTTTGAATCTTTTGAGAGTAAAGTCCAGTGGTGCAGAATATACCTACCTTGGGTTTTTCTGATATTTCATTATGATTATATTTAGATGATGTGTTTTTTTGACAAGAGTATCACAAAAGTGACCCTGTGATATTGTTTGCATCTTACCACGTGATCTACAATCTAATTTATGCTATTATTGGTGATGTTAGCATTGATCTCTAATGGTGGAATCTGCTGGGTTTGAGATTTGACTTGCTGAATGAGCCAAGCATAATACCTGAACTAAATCTCAGTTTTCCATGTGTGTAATTCTTTATGCACACCTTACTTGATTTAATTTGCTAATATTCTGGTATATATTTTATTTCTAAATTCATGAGACATTTTGGGCTGTTTTCTTTCTTTCTTTCTTTCTTTTTTTTTTTTTTTCTTTTTACTATCTTTGTCTGGTTTGGGTATCAATAGGACACCAGCATCATAAAACTATTTGAGAAGTAACCCTCTTCTTCTATTTTCCAAGAGTTTGTATAATACGTGTTACTTCCTTGAATGTTTGGTAAAATTCTCCAGTGAAATTCTCTAGGCCTAGACATTTTGGGGGAGAAGGAGCTGTTTAATTCCAAATTCAATTTACTTCTGTAATAGTTATAGAGCTGTTCATGTTATCTATTTCATATTGGCTCAGTTTTTGTGATTTGTGGTTCTTGAGAAATTGTTCAGTTTGTTATACATAGTTGAGTTGAAAAGCATAACATTTTTTGTAGTATTCACTTGTTATTTCAATGGCTATGCCATCTGCTGTGACATTTGCTATTCATCCGATATTAGTGATCAATGTGTTTTCTCAGTCTTGCTAGATTTTTGTTGATTTTATTTATTTTGTTGTAGAACTAACTTCTTGTTTTATTGATTCTTTTTATTCTTTTACTGTTTTTTCATGTCATTAATTTCTGTGCTTACATTCGTTATTTCCTACTCATTTTCAGTTTATGTTGCTCTTTTTTAGTTTCTGCAGCTAGGACTATTGGTCTGAGCTTTTCTTTTTTTATAATGTAAGTCCTTAGTGCTATAGATGTCATACTCAGCACTGTTTAAGTTGTATTCACATAATTTCATATGTTATATTTTTATTTTCATTCAGTTTCATGTATTATATTTTCCTTTCAGCCTTCCTCTTAGACCCATGACTTACTTGGGTGTGTATTATTTAATTCTCAAGTGTTTGGAGAATTTCTGTTATCTTTCTCATTAATTTCCATGTGTATCAATTTTTTTAAGTGAACATACATGGTTTTAATTGTTTTTAATTCCTAGAAGTTTATTTTATGACTTATAATATGGACTTTTTTGGCAAATTCATCATGGATTATTAAAAAAATATTTACTCTGCTATTATTTGGTGGACTGTTCTATAACTATCCAGTAGTGTGGGTTGATTGTGTTATTCACTTCTCCTGTGTTGATTTTCTGTCTGTAGGTTACCAGAGTAGGGTAGTGAAGTCCTCAGAAAAAATTGTGCATTTATCTGTTTCTTTTCTTAGTATTATCAGTTTGTGTTTCATGTATGTAGAGGCCATGTGTGGTGTACACATTTAAACAGATCTTGTGTCTTTGTTGTTTGTTGGCCCTTTCATTATTACATAATGTACCTCTTTATCTCTAGTAATTGTTTTTACTCTGAAGTCTGTTTTTCTATTATTACCATGGCCAATATTGTTTAAAAAATTAAGGTGGTGACTTTTTGATAAAGGCGATTCTCACTGGAGTTAAGTGATATCTCTTTGTAGTTTTGATTTGCATTTCCCTGATGATTAGAGATGATGAGCATTTTTTCATATGTTTGTTGGCCATTCTTCTGTCTTCTTTAGAAAAGTTTCTGTTCAAGCCCTTTGCCCACTTTTTAATAGGGTTATTTGATTTTTTCTTACTGATTTTCGTGAGTTCTAAGTATATTCTAGTTATCAGCCCTTTATCGGATACGTAGGATGCAAAAATTTTCTCCCATTCTGTAGGTTGTCTGTTTACTTTTATGACTGTTTCTTTGGCTGTGCAGAAGCTTTTAGTTTGATCATGTCCATTTATTTATTTTGTTGCTGCTGTGATTGCTTTGGGGACTTCTTCATAACTCTTTTGCCTAGGCCAATGTGTAGGAGAGTGTTTCCAACTTTTCCTCTAGAATTCTAATGGTTTCATCCTTAGGTTTAAGTCTGTTATCCAGCATGAGTTGATTTTTGTAGAGGTGAAAGGTGTGGGTCCTGTTTTAGCCTTCTACAGGTGGCTATCCAGTTTTCCCAGCACCATTTATTGAAAAGGGATTCTTTTCCCCAGTGTATGTTTTTGTCTGCTTTGTCAAATATTAGATGGCTATATGAAGATGGTTTAAATGGCCTTTATCAAAAAGTCTCCAAATAACAAATGCTGGCGTGGATGTGGAGAGAGAGGAACACTCCTACACTGCTGGTGGGACTGCAAACTAGTCCAACCTCTGTGGAAAGCAATATGGAGATACCTTAAAGCGATACAAGTGAATCTACCATTTGATCCAGCAATCCCATTGCTGGGCATCTACCCAAAAGATCCAATGACACTCTACAAAAAGACACCTGCACTCGAATGTTTATAGCAGCACAATTCATAATTGCAAGGCTGTGGAAACAGCCCAAGTGCCCATCAATCCAAGAATGGATTAATAAAATGTGGTATATGTATACCATGGAGTACTATTCAGCTCTAAGAAACAATGGTGATATAGCACATCTTATATTTTCCTGGTTAGAGCTGGAACCCATACTACTAAGTGAATATCCCAAGAATGGAAAAACAAGCACCACATATACTCACCAGCAAACTGGTATTAACTGAGTAGCACCTAAGTGGACACATAGGTACTACAGTAACAGGGTATTGGGAGGGGGAGGGAGACGGGGACGGGTATATACATACATAATGAGTGACATGTGCACCATCTGAGGGATGGTCATGCTGGAGAATCAGACTTGTAGGGGGAGGGGGGAAAGGGCATTTATTGAAACCTTAAAATCTGTACCCCCATAATATGCCGAAATAAAAAAAAAAGAAAAGAAAGAAAAAAAAATTAAGGTGGTGTGGTTTTATCATTTCCATCTTTTTATTTTAAGTCTACCTATGCTGTTTAATTTCAAGTGAATTTCTTATAGACAGCATAAATATTGTTGAATCATGTTTATTTCTGCACATTGATGCTTTCTTTTGATTGACACATGTCCACAATTTATATTTGAGGTAATCGTTGTATGGTAAGTCTCAGGTGTGTGCTACTTTTTGTTTTTTGTTTGTTTATTCTCTTGCTCTTTCTCCTTTTTTAAAATTTTTTATTTTAGCATATTAGGGGGGTACAAGTGTTAAGGTTACTTATATTGCCCATGCCCCCCTCCCCCCTCGAGTCAGAGTTGCTCTTTCTCCTGTATCTCTTTCCTTACCCTCCTGCTGGATACTTCAGTGGTTTTAGAATTACATATTTCTTTACAGTGTTTTTGATTATATCTCTTTTATAATTTTATTTGAGGTGTCTTTAGTTTATTATTATATATACATAATTTCCTTGAGTCCTTCTAGTGTGGATGTCTTACCACTTGAAGTACAATGTAAAAGCTTAATTTCAACTTAGTTTCCTTCACCATTTTACTTTTTAAATACAAGGGAAATGTATGCAACCTTAATGTTTGTACCCTCATAAATAGGCTGAAATAAGAAAAAGAAAAGAAAAAAATGTTTAATTATTAAAATATTTTAATTATTTAAAAAATAAAATAGAATGAAGCTAAATGATTTCCCTATTATGCTGGGTGCCACATCAAATATGATTCAAAAATTTATGATAAGAAGCATAATTTATCTCCCTTATTTTTTCCATTCTGGTGTTCTTTTCTTTTTGAATTTTCAAGAAGTCTTCCGATACCAATTCCTTTCTGTTTAGAGAACTTGCTCTACACATTTGGTAGCTCTTTTGGGTTAGCACCATGCCTCTTTGACACATCCCTATCCTTTTGGTTTTGAACTTTTTTTGGTTTTTTGGCACCACAGGATGTTCCAGAACCATCTGATATTTTCACTGGCCCAGGCCTAGAATTAATCATTTCTCCAGAGACCTGATTCATTAGATTGGAGAATCTTATTTACAAACCAAGATATGTGCACATTGCTTTTTAGCAGACAGAACTAGGAGATTTGTTTGTATACACATCCATGTTTATATATATATATATACATATAATTTGTATATCTACCTGTATAATGCTGATACCTTCAACTTTAATCTAGCACCACTGAATTTATTGCAGTCTTTCACACTTGCTTAATTATAAATCCCTCTGTAACAATGGGAAATATAGCTCACATTATCTACAGCTTACTCTCTTGGGCTAGCCTAGTATGGATGTAATATAATGTTAGCATTATCTTTTGTTCCTGTGACAAACAAAATTACAAACTATAATAAAGAGTTTATGTGGAGCTTATTTTAGCTTTACAACAGTAGCCAGTAAAAATGACATTTTAAAATTTTATTTATTTTTAAATTTCAGAATATTATGGGGGTACAAATGTTTTGATTACATATGTTGCTTTTGCACAACCCAAGCCATAGT